CCCTCTTCTGCATCAGGCCTGCCTCTGTGTGTTTGCTCTTAGCTTGTCTCACACTCCAAACAAGGTCAAATCCCTCTGTGTTGGTGGAGAAGTGACACAATCTCCAAACACTCCTTTTCTCCTGCATTTCTGTAGTCCAATTTACAAATCTCTCCAAACATACTTAATTATAACAGAGCCCAGGCCAAGGTCACGTGCTCACGAAAAGTTTTTCGAGCTACGTACACACTCATGTGGCCACTGGTTCACAGACAAAAAAACGCACACAGGCATGATTACACTTTAGCTGCCATCAATGGGCAACTATAAAAATTTGAATTCGCTTAAAGGGGAAATGAAGCATAGAGTCAAGTTAGCATAATTCACTGCATGTATTTTCATTTTATTCAGAGGATATATAGCAAACATGAAAAACGTAAGCATATAAAAGGAAAAAGCACATTGTTTTGTGTCTTCTCTACAAATGATGCTGACATCGAGAGCCGGTGACATCACACGGTTGGTTAGCTTTGCAACTTTAGTTAAAGACAGACAGTGAAAGACAGACAGTGGACAATAAAGACAGTGAAAGATGGAGCCACAGATGAGCCAGTAGACAAGGAGAGGCCACTACTGCACTACTGAAGAATGAATTTTACAGGGTTAAAGCCATAAAACAGTTTTGGTGCTTCTGCTACAAACCCTGGAGTCAGAGCATCAGGACTGTTCTCCGTTTCAGTGACTTTACCTCTATAAAATATATTCTTATATCCAGGATTACTGCAGTAGTGGCCTCCCTTTCTCTTCTGATGAAAAGGAAAACTTACAAATGCTCATTTTGTTGGAATACACACCATGGAGAGTTTAGAGAGGTTTTGTTTATTTTCCTCATTCAATTTTTTAATGCTATTTTTGTTATCTTTTTCTAATGCCTACGTATTACTCTTGTGTTATTTGTGGTGATTCTGGATGGGTTTTGGATCTCTGCTGTTTTTCCCTGTGCGTTCGAGTGAGTCTTGCAAGCTGTCACGATCGAGAAGATCATCAACCCCTCGACTCTGTCCGGTTGGCTCTCCCGGATGCCATGAAGATTCACCCGACCTTTCACGTGTCTCGGCTCAAGCCTGCTTCCTCCAGTGATTATGGTCCTCCGGCCATTCTGTGGTGATTATGTTCACTGTGTGTTTTGGATCCCTGCTGTTTTTCCCTGTGTGTCCCTCCTCGGAAACACAAGGTGGATCTTCTCCCTATGCAAGCACCTGTATGGGAAATCACCCTCCTGCACCGCCGCGACAACCCGCGCACCCACCCCAGATTCCCTTAAATAAACCTGTTCTTCCTTTTATACCCGTTTTGGGTCCCACCTCATGTCCTGCCCAGTATAACAGTTATTATTATTTTCTATTACCCAATCTATTCTTCACATATTGTATATTATTCATTTTATACTGGTGCACAAAATAAATACTTGTGTAAGAATATACAAAAAAAAAAAAATTGAATACAATTAAAGGGGAAATGAAGGACAGAGGGCGCTATCATCTGAGAGTACCATGACCGATGACTATTATTATTATTTTCTATTACCTAATCTATTTTTCCCAAACCTATACATTAATATATTCATGTATAGGTTTCTACAGTATGTAGACGCAGGCGACAGTGCTGCTATGATGAGTATGACAGCGTACTGTATATTATTAATTTTATACTGGTGCACTGCTGTTCGTCGCTGGAGTTTAAAACGGCGGACTGCTTTGGTAGTGGAGGTCTACCCACGGGGTCAAGCAGGCGGAATGACCTGTAATGAAGTCGACAGCCACCGATGCGAGCGTAAGACCCACACAGGTGACACCAACCTGCCAGGCTGCTTTCAAAGCGCCTCTACCACAGCGACGCCAAAAACTTTCCTGAACTTCAGCAGCTGGAGCGTCACTAGCTGGTGTATCTGCTTGTTTTTCATTTTCAAAAACAATCAAAGCTTCATCTCTGAAGCTCTGTACACCGCTTAGTATACTCTCCTCCTGCTGTGCCTCCAGCTCAGCCCTAAGATCACGGATTGATTGTTTCATACCGTCTCGGGCTTCGTACAGCTCATCAATCAGCTCCTGTTTGTGAACAATTTGGTTGTTTTGTTCAGTGATGAGCTGCTCTTGATCCCACATGACTTGCTGAGCCTCCGTCACTTGGTGCTGAAATTGTTGCACAGTCGTCTTGAGATTTGTGATCTCTTGACGTTGACGGCTTCCCTGACTCTCGGCTTTGGTCAGCTCCTCAGCAAGGTTGCTGGTCTGATTTTGCAGGAAGTCGTTCTTTTCACGGAGCTCATGCACAGTTTTCCTAAACCTTTCCAGCTCTGCCTGATATTTCTCCGTCAGAGATCCCGCATCGGTCAGCTTTTGGTTTTCATCGCTGTGGACCCTCTGAGCCTCTTTTAGTTGGCACTTGAGGAGAAATATTTCTTCTTTCAGACTTCTGTTCCGTCTGTGTTTCTCCTCAGTCAGATCTTCAAGCTGGGCCCTCTCAGCACTCATACTCTGGATCTTCTCGATGAGGATTTTCTCATTTTTCTCCAGAGTACGAACGTCTTCCTGCAACCTGTCACTCAGGGCCTTTTTCGTCTCCTTCTGACGTTCAGTTAGTTTCAGCTCAGCACTGATGTTCTTTTTCTCCTGACTCAGAGACTTCCTACTCTTCTGCAGATCCTCCAGTTCAGCTAAAAGGTTTTGGATCTTGAGCTCCTGTCTTTTTGTCAGGCGTTCAAGCTCATCAACCTTTTTCAACTGCTTGGTGTTGTCGGTTTGGTTTTGCTGAACATCATTCAGCTGGTACTCAAACTGACAAGCTATGGCCCTCAGCTGTTCAATCTCTGCCTGTTTTTTGGCATACACAGACTGAAACTGAGCCACCTCAGTGCTGAGATTCTTGTTCTGCTCTTTCAGAGTTTTCTCATTGTCCTGAGAACTCTGAAGTGCTGCCCTCAGCTGTTCAATCTCCTCTTGCGTAGAGCTCAGAGATTGAAGTTGTTCCGCTTCAGTGATGCAATTCCTCTCCTGGTCAAACATGATGGATCCGAGTGTTTATTAAGCTGAAATGAATCGTACAGTAAATTTCTACAATAACGAATTTCTCAGTAAGTGGTGTAAAATGTGGCTTACTTAGCTCAGGGCTGGTCAATTTAAGGACTCTTGCTGCCAGAATGTGACATCATTATGACATCATAGATTTTCCTTTGATGGTTCAAAGGATGGTTCCCCTCCCTTTCCTTGACATCACAGATGATCGATGATGTCATAGATTGTCCGGTGACATCATCACATGACATCATCACGTGTTCCAGAGGCTACGTCCTCCTTGGGCTCCATTCAGCTAGTTTCAGCTCAGCACTGATGGTCTTTTTCTGTTCCTTCAGAGAGTTCTTACTCTCCTGTAGATCCTACAGTTATCTCAGCTGCTTTAACAACTCTGCAACAAGGAAGCACTTTTAAAATCGTCCCAGATTTCAAGATTGGGAAGCAGATGTCTCACGAACATGCGCTCACTTGGGAAACTGGCCTTGATGGATGCTTCAGCTTTAGCTTAAAAACTCCCCACAAAAATGCTGAGGTGTCACATCTGTCCATCTGAGCTCAGCTGCAAATCGGTGGAGCAGTGCAGGTTTTGTTTATTACAACAACCAAAGCAGTCAGTGTGAGTTAGGATTACTGAGCCACTGTTTGACAGTGTGTGTGTGCATGTATGTTAAAATGCGCTAACAGTATTCACAAAGTTCACACCTTGCCTGCTTAAGTTTCCCTTTGTTGTGGCTGGTGGCCAAAAGGTGTGAGTGCGGGACCAAAAACGAACAGCGAGCAGGATAAAGGGTCAGCAGGCTTATCTCAGGGAATCCAGGGAGTGTGGGACACCGGGAGGCAGGTGAAGGGATCCGGGGAAGGTGCGCTGTCGCCGCGGTGGTGCAGGCGGGTGATATCTCGTGTCCGTGCTCGTGAGACGTTCTCCCCATGCGGGTGCTCGTGCCAAGGGACGATCTAAATCCATGATTCCGTGGCGCACAAAAGGGCTGGCGTAGCGAGCTGGAGAAGCTGGGCCCTGGAGCCGGTGAAGGAGACGCACTGGTAGAGTTGGCAATCATCTGGCACTTGCGCACAGGTGGAACGGTGGCTTTATCCAGCGCGTACTGATGAGATGAGCTGCAGCTGTGCCAGCGCAGAGCGTCCTCCTCCAAGCAGCTCCGCCCAGGCCGAAAACAACTCCAACCGCCACACAAAACAACCACCAGCCATATACAAACAAAAACACTGAACACAGCACAATCACCACATCCTGCTTTGTAATGGGTCAATTCACACCACTCTTCAAATGAGTGTTATTTCTCAGAGACCTTTTATGCTGAATATCATTTTAAGTGTAGCCCTGTGATAGCCTGGCCCCGCAACCCTAGTGAGGATTAAGTGGTGTATAAATAATGGATAGATGGATGATGTGCTGTTGTCATTGTTTAAACTGATCTGCTGACAAAGACATGTTGTACACATTGAAACACAGCAAACACAGCATTCATAGCTACGTTTCAAGATAATTTCTTCTTTCTGTGTAATGGAGACTGTTTGGGTCAGTGGAGCTTTTTGAGCCACTGAAACTTGAGCAGAAAATTCAAGACCTAAAGATAGCAATGGCTGGGGTCAAGGTCAAAAAAGACTACCGTAAACAACAACGTTCAGAGGATGAGCTCCTTAAAGTGCAAACTGACCTGCAGGATATTAAGTCTGAGGAACAAAGAGATGACAGTCCAAGCTGCAGAACTTTAGCAGCTGGAGACTCCTGCTGCCAAAACCTCAGAGCCATGCTGGAGATTACGCCTGAGGAACTCAGATGAGAGTTTCTTGGAGATTTCCGGTCGCAGATCCTCACCAGCTGGATCATGGAGATGAAATCCTCCTAAAAAAAAATGTAGCTGCCCAACCTCAGCAGCTGGAGACACCCACCGCTGAAACTTCTGCTGCTGCGGGTGTGTTAGAACCACTGATCCACCTTGCAGCCCACAACAGCACTAGTCCACATTAAAACAAACTACACTCCATCATCTTATGTCCTATAATAATAATACTATTATATGATGTAATAATGACCATGATGTGCAATATTTTTCTAAACCCATGCTGTACATATAACCTATACTGTATACTGTATATATAACTTATCTTATTTTTTATACTTAAATCTCTTCTATTTTTCTTTTTTTTTGCTCTTTATTTTGTACTTTATTATGTATGGCACTGAAGGAGCTGCTCTCAATCTCATTGTACTTGTGTATAGTGACAATAAAGGCATTCTATTCTATCTTATTCTATTATAACTTCACATGAAAATAGAATTTTTCATTAGTTTTTTAATTCCTTCCAGATAATCCCAGAGCAGAAAAAATGGGGCAAATACAGCTGAATATTGTTGGTATTAATGTTGGATGTTCAGTTCTGGCCAGGAAATAACTAAAACATCCCTTCCACAGGAGAAATCCAAAAAAAAATAAAAAAATAAGGAAAATTAACTATTTAAAAAAAACAACAACAACAAAAACTACGTATTTACACCATTCATACTTTATTTTATTTTTTTCATTGACCTTTAATTTCACAAACTCGACATGATTGTTTTATTTCGTTATTGTTTATGCGGCTATATTTACCTGATGGAAACATCTCCACCGGCCTCGACATGCAGGCAGCGGGAGCCCGGAGGAGCTGCGGCGGTGCCTCCGGTGAGCCGGTAGGAGGAGACTGTGCTCTGTCTTCCGCGTTTCCCCCGCTTCTCCTCTCTGTCCTAATTGCACCGCACTCTGCTACCTTTGTGCACGTTTCTGCGCCCTCGCACTCTTGTTGTGTTTTTTTTCCTCCACCTTGGAGAGGAAAAAAAAAAACAAAAACAAGGCGGCCGTACAGCACCTGGCGTCTCCTCTCCAACCTGTGCTATCACCACAAACACTGCCTGGGAGTTAGTCGACCGCCTCATCCATGCATTGTCGTCCCGGGCCCCAGCGCACCGGCTCCGGCTCCAGCCATGTCGGCCAGGAATGCAGCGGCTGGCGGCGGTGACAGAGCGGGAGGCGAACCGGCAGGTAATTAAACACGACAAAGAGGCAATTTGGCGGGTTGTAATGTTCACGCGTGGCAAACAACTCGGGAAGGTGCGTGTGGGTGTCGATATTCAGCAGAACCAGGGGGGAAGAAGAGCGGCGGTGTTTCTGGCAGTTTCTCTCCGGTTGACCGTAACTTTGCGCTATTCCAAAACTAGGTCAGTAGATCAGTAGAGCAAGCTCGCCCTCGAACCGCAACACGGTTTATGTAAAGGCTGCACGACGGTGTTTTTGTCGCACAGCCGTCGTTATGCACATAATATCACCGTGTTACATGTTGCCTGTCAATAACCGTAACGTTATTTACATGTGGACACCGTTTACCGTCCGCTAACCCGATGTTAGCTTAGCAAGCAAGCGGCGGCGGCGGCGGCTAAGGCCTGTTTACCGGAGCAGCGTTCTCAACCGAAACGAGGTGTTTTCACGGCTCCGGAAAGCTCGTTTCTTCTGGTTGTATTTTGACACTTTTAAAGTCGGTGTTTTCTCGACAGAAGTGCTGTGAAAGCAGCGGCGGTGCTTGCGGTTGTTTAGGCCCCACTGTTTGATCGCTCGCCCCCCCGACGGCTGAATTAGCCGTTTTTTCTCTCGTCCTGTTAGCCCGGACGGAGCAGCCGTTAATGTGAGTTATCCGGTCCGTTCTGTCTCACGGTGTGTTTGCACCGCAACCGGCTGCATGTCAAAATAAACCGAGCAGCCTTTTATTTTGAATTTTAAAACAAACAAACACTCGGCTAAAAATAACCCAAACAGCGTCGTGTCATTTGCCGAGATAAATGCGCGATAAATTCTATGGATGAACCCGGTGACCCAGAGTGGAACAACATGGTTCCTCCAGGAGACTGAACTGCCTTGAATCGAGACATTTGCATTTATTGGGATAAACACTCTGATCAACATGCACTCAGTTCAGCTGTACATGTGTGACCTGCAGCCTTAACCTTGATATCAGATCAACAATGCAGTAGAGCTCCAGTAAGGATGTTTTTCTTGTTTAAAAAAAAAGATTGTCCAGCTTCAACTATTAACACATTTGTCACTTGTGTAGCTCAGAGAGTTACATAAAAATGTAGGTCAAGCACCATCATTAACTTGAGTTATTGCTGATCGGCTGATTTCCTCAAATTCTGCTGCATTAGGAACCAAATGCGGTAGTGATGAATTAATAATATGAAAGACCGATGGTTTGGTACAGAAAGGAAGCTCTTACAATATGCGTGTAGCAAACAGATTGTGTTATCTTTATGGCACTGGCTCATAAATCTGTAATCATTACAGGAGGAGATATTTGAAGGCAACAATAACATGCGTTGGTTGCTCAGAAGTGAACAGATTTTTTGTAAACAACACAAACTAATAGACTGCAGAGTGTGTCAGTGCACTAAATACTCCTGTGAGAGATTACTACTGTTAAGCTGTTATTACTAAGCATACAGCGACGTGAAGTCATTCATCACAAGACTGAGTACAACCAATTATGGCTGGTGGTCTTTCCCCCCCATTCACAATTACAGCATTTGGGGCTTTCAGACGCTCCAACATCAGCAACATGTGTCTTCTCCCATGTTCACAAGATGTGAGTCAGAAGCATCACTGTCTGCTCGGCTGCATCCTTTTATTACAGTTGAACTGAAACTACACTTTCACACATCAAAGTCTGTGTTGAACCGAACTGCGAAAATACGTACAAATATACAGTTGTGTCATGACTCTGGTGGTTGCAGGGGAAGCTGCTGGTCTTGTAGACGTTCTCAGGATGTGTCACTTGAGTCAGCATCAGCACGTCTCGGTGTCAGGCAGGCAGCGTGAGGCTACGTTAGCAGTTATCACACCAGAATCTCTCTGAGCTATTGGTACATGAATGTGCAGGAGAAGAGAGATGATATCTGTGGCTCTGCTGCTTCGCTTTTCTCCTCAGAACCCGGTTCTACACCTTTCTCCACAACACATGCCGTCGTTATCGTACTTTCTATTGGAGATTGTGTTTCATGCATGCGCAGTAGATCTGTGTCTATGTACTGCAGGCATCTGCACTATGAGTCAAATCGAAATGACCTATTTGGGTTTTCCAGCACATGGGCCATCAGTGCTCTTTTAGCAAAGTGGTTGTGCGGAACGTCCGTGCGGCCGCAACAAATTGGACTGTAAGTGACCCTCTGATGGCAAAGTTAACGTCATTCGAAACCTTGCGTACTCAACGATGCAGAAAGTATGTCGCCTTAAAAAGTGTCTCAGTGGGTAGAGTGCACGTCACGTATCTGCAGTGTTTAGTTTGATTGTAGTTGGAGACCTGTGTTGCTGTGTTGCCTGTAATGCAATCCTCATTGTTTCCTGTCTTTACTGTTAACTGTCCTATAAAGGCAAAGGGTGACGATATTATATGATTGCAGTGCTCGCCAGATTGTTCTTCGAGGCCTTTTTGCTACCAAAATAATAGACATAGTTTGACTGTTCTGTGGCAGAGAGTGGTCTTTGTGTCCTTGGTTTTTCCTCAGAATAGTGACAAGTGGAAGTGATTTGGAAGAACAGTTGCATGCAGGAATACAACATTATAATTAAAAAATAAATAAATAAAAATTGAAATCGATAATCCAACAAAAAAGCTAACAGGGCTGCCTTACTGCTCAATCCGAATCCTCTGCAACAGCTAAAAGTTTCAGTGTGGTAAGTAGCTGCTCGGATGTTGTTGTTGTTTGTTATATAAAGAAAAATCTTCTTAGTATGTACAGTCGTCCTCAGATTTATCCATACCTTTCCATTAAAGAAAAGGCTAAATTCACAATAGTCACTGAAATAACTAGAAACTGAAAAAAATAGTAATAAATAAAAATTTGCTAAATTATAATTTAGTGAAATAAGACATTGCTTTTGAATTGTGGTTGAAAAGAATAATTTTTAAAAACTGTCCTGGACAAATTGGAGCACTTTGCTGATGAGCAGTGGACCAGAATAGCTGTCAACAGGTGCAGAAGTTTGATTGAGAGTCACAGAAAACACTTGATTGCAGTGATTGGCTCAAAGGGTTGTTCAACAAAACATTAGTTTGCGGGTCCCATCATGCTTGTTTGTTTATTTGTTTTTAAATATTTCTGCTGAACCACAATTCAAAAGCAATGTCACAATTTTTATTACATTTTTGTTTATTATTACTTTTGTCAATTTCAACTTATTTCAGTGACAGCTGTTTTTTTCCTTCTTTAATGGGAGGGTATGAATAAATATGAGGACGACTGTGTATATTGTTGTCTGAAATATGGACACGCCCATATATGTACACCTACAGGACCTTTCAAGGGCCCCACTACCACCTGCATATATATAAATGTTGTCCAAAACATTTTGCCAAACCAGTCTTCTAGTCCCACATAAGTAAATTCTAAACCAAATCCGAGATGTTGCAGCCATGCATTTCCTGAATCCTGTCTGCAACTAGCATCTAAGCTCTGTGTGAAGTGCATGCTCACAGTGTGAGAACGCCCAGCCGGTAGCCACGCTGACAGCTGGGTCTGTGCCGACCATACGATGTTTGCTGAAAGGATTACTCGATCCAGGATTCATTGCAGCTGAGATGACAGCAGGTGATTTCTCTGCCTAATGCTCCTGTAGTAGAAAGGATACCTGTGTCTGCAGCGCACGTGAGAAAAGGACTCTGGATTAGTTGAGCAAAAATAAACTAGACTGATTTGATCGCAGCTAATTGTAAAAGCCAATTATGCTTCTTTTTAAGGTGAAATTGAAATGTCGAATAATTTTACCAATTTTCAAAACTCTGCCAGAATATTTAACTTAGTTTTGGGTCTCAAATAAGTAAACTCTGAACAAACTCTGGGATGGTGCAGCTTCATATTTCCTGAATCGTGTCTGAATTGACCCATATATGACTGATCCATTCCAGTTTGTTAAACACAGTGGAAAAGCAAAGCTGAACTGGCCACCTTTGCCCTACAAGGCCTCATAATGTCGAGGACAGTGCCAACGTATCAGTCATTTATTGGTAAAGCAGCCTTTAAAATGATGTTGTGTGGCACTGCCCTGGTCAAAGGTGCAACATTAGCAGGATTTTTTTTATTTTTTATTACTGCTTATTGATTGTATTTTATCAAATCAACTCACGTTTATTGTCATTTTGTTGTACATACACAGTAGTGCAGGCACAATGAGAGAACGTTTCTTCAGGATTATTCAACCAGCGAGTTTTGCAGAATGCATGTCTGGGATAAAGACACTAAACATTCACTGTCGCTGTCTCCTGAAGGGGGCGCTGTGTCCATGCACGCTGCCATTCATTGAACATGGCGAACCTCTTCAGGTCCTGGTAGGTCTTCAGGGACACAAAGACGCACATGATGGTGTGACTATGGTGAAGCTGCAGATGCTGCCCAGAGCTGTCTGTCTGTCTGTCTGTCCGCCTGGAATAATGTCGTCCCCTCCAGCTGTATGCTGTCATGGAGCCATGTTTCTGTTAAAGCAGACACACAGCAGTCCCTCCACTCTCTGTGGGTTTCTCTCAGCAAACGTAGCTCGTCCAGCTTGTTGTGGAGGGAGCGGGCATTGGAGAGTAGGAGGACGGTCCTGCTGGTCTGGAGGGGTTAGCCTTTAGCCTAGCATGGATCCCGGCTCTCTTCCTCCTCCTTTGTTTACGTTTGTGCTGTTTGCGCTTCCTTCTCTCTCGGGTAACTGCCGGCGTAGTCTCTGATCGGACGCCATGTTGGTGTAATATGTCCACATCACAACCAATCGCTGCAATTCCAGCACCGTTCACTGTCCTGATGTCCAGCAAAGTCTCCCGGCTGCAGGTTTTGCGAAATGAACGTCTGGGATAGACAAGACCCGTTTACTGTTGATGTCTCCTGAAGGGGCTGCTGCGTCTATACGCACCGCCATCACCATGGCATATTTATTTACAAGCAAAAACAAAAATGTCTCTGGTTTAAACTTGTCAATTATCAAGATTTGCTGCTTTTCCTTTTCACATATGATGGAAA